CGCGGCGCGGGACGCGTTGGAGACGAAGACGGCGAAGAATAGGGCGAAACGGGCGAAATTGAAGGCGAAATTGAAGGCGAAACGGGCGAAGACGAAGAGTGGGGGGGTGGGTGATGAAGGGGTGGAAGAGGGTGGGGTGGATGACGTCGAGTAGGGCGTTTCGCGGGTTTCTATGAATGTGTACAATTAAAGCTCGAGTCATTTCTCGCGTCGTTTCACGCGCTCGGCGTCTTCACTGAGGACGCGTTCTCTTCGCTCGTCTCGGCGGTGGTCTGATCGGGGGGTGTCTTTGTGTCGTCGTCGTCGTCATCGTCTCCGTCGTCTCGTTCGGTTGCGCTCGATTCCTTTTTCGTCGCTCTGGGGAGGATCGCGGCAAACTTGTCCGCGAACGCTTGCTCCATTTCCGCGCGCTCGGGCGAACCCTTGTTGATCACGGCGTTCATGAGCTCCTCCGGATCAATCTTTAAGAGCTGAATCGCGAACAAGATCAGCAGGGGGATGTCGCTACCGGTGGCAATCATGGTGCCAAAGGCGATGAAAGTCACGATGAGATTCACGCGCTTCTTCTTCTTCTCCTTGGCTATTTCTTCAGGCGTCTTATCCTTTTCAGTCGATTTTGCCGTGGACTCCGCCGACTCCGTCTCCACGTCCAGCGTGTTCGTCCACGCCCGCGAGATCGCTTGCGGGAGCAAGCACGCGGGAGCGAGGTAGAGCACGTACGACGTGACGACGGCAAACGGCGCGAGTACGATTCCGACGCTCCCGCCGCCTTTCAGCGCCGTTAGCGCCTTAACAATCGTCGTCGACGCCGAAATTAACAGCATCGCCGTACCGAGAACGCCAAAGACGATCGCAGAAACCCTTCGCGCCATTTTAAAAACCTTCCCCTTGCGTCCGCCCAAGCCATCGAAGCGCCATCAACGCGGGCGCCGTCATCACCCACCAACTACTCCCCTCACCCCCGTACGCCCCCGCGGGGACGAGTAACATGTATCCGATGTGAAAATCTATCCACGCGCTCCTACACGCGCGATTGAACCCCATGGGTCGATACTTGGACTCCTTCGACGCGTTCGGGACGACTTTATGCTCGTACCACCACCTCCGCGCCGCGTACAGCGCCCCGAACGTCGGCACGACAACCAACAGCATCCACTGCAGTCCGATGATCGGTACCTCCCTCGACTCTCTCAACATCGCCCCGGTATAAAACAACAGCACCGCCGTGAGCGGGTTCAGGCGTCCAAAGAAGGTCGGGACGCCGTCCAGCGCGCGCGGATACAGCGCGTCCGACACCGGCGCGATCGTATCCGGTCGCTCCGGTCTGTCGTCGACGTCGCTCGAACTCGCGTCGATCGACATCGCCGACGTCGCCCGTCCTCTGGCGGCGATCGCACCGCTCCGGCGCGCGCGCGACGTCGTCGTCGAGCGCGTTCGTTGAACGAAGACGATATCTGGGTGGACGAACCGCGCGCGCGAATGCGTCGTTCGCGTCCGCCGCACCGGTGGTGCGCGTTCGCCGACGCGTTGGCGACGCGCACCGCACGCGTGGACGCGCCGCGTCGCGGTCGCGCGCGCTCGAGCGAGGGACATGTCGACGCGACGGGCGATGCGGCGGCGTGGGTGGAATTTCTTATAAAATATCTTTTGCGCAATCCATCTCGAGGGACGCGTCGCGCGTCACGCGCGGACGTTTGATACGCCCTTGACGCCGTCGAACTGCGGTTCTTGGGCGTTTTCGGGGAATAACATCGCGAGTCGTACCTCGGAGACGTCGCTGACGACGCACGAAGCGCCCTCGCCCATGAAATCGGCGTCTTGGTTGGAGCCGCACGGGGTGATGAGGCACGGCATGTTCGCCCCGACGGCGGCGCGCAAGCCGACGATGGAGTCCTCGATCACGAGGCACTTACTCGCCGGGAGCCCGACCTTGTCCCGAGCGAGGTTATAAATCAGAGGATCGGGTTTCTTCTTCGTCACGTCGTCGCCAGCCATGAGGACGTCGAGCTTAGAGAGGCGTTCCTGACCCACGACGGAGTTGACGACCTTTTCGAAACCCGCCTTGGTGGCGGCGCTGCAGATCCCGACCGCGATCGACGGGTCCGCGATCGCCTCGTCCATCAATTCCAAAATACCCGGACGCGCCACCGCCACCTCCTCGACGATCTTCTTATAGATCTCCGTCTTCTTATCCTGCAGCGCGTCCACGAGCGCGTCTCGATCCGCGTCGCTCTCCGGCGCCGGCGCGTTCGGCGTATTCGGCCATCCGTTCTCCTTAAAGTGCCACTTCATCTTCGGCTTCCCCCCGCCCACGGTATTCTGCAACACATCGTAATACTCCACGCTCCAATTCAACGCCGCATCACCGATCGTCAACCCAAACGCCTCGAACGCGCCGTTATACGCCATGCGATGGAGCTCCTCCGTCTCCACGATGACCCCGTCGCAGTCGAACAACAACGCGAATCGCGCGTTCGTCGTGTTCGACGCCCGCGCCAGCGTCGCCGCGCGCGCGCGCTGTCCACCACCGCGCCCGCGCGTCCACCCGCGCGTCGTCGTCGTCGACGCGCCCGTTCGCACCGTCGCCATCGTTCCACCGCGAATGAATCAATCAATGAAGCAATCAATCAATGAATGAATCGACCACCCACGCGCCCGATCGCTCCCGTCGCGCGTCCGAGATCGAGATCGAGATCGCGATGAAGGTTCGGACGCGCCCGTCGCCCGCGTCCGCGGTCCCGCTCGCCCGCGCGCGGGGTCGAGTGCCCGTCGCGCGTCGACGACAGGCCCCTCGATGGGGGCGTCGGGGGGTCGTCGACGACTCATGACTCGTCACTCAGTCTCGGAGGAACGTCCGTGACGCCGCGGACGACGACGACGGACGCCATCCCGACGCGCGCGCGCGCACCGAGCGCGCGTCGTCCACCCGCGTTCGCGGCGACGCGCTCGGACGTCACGGCGCCGTCGCGCGCGCGTCGTTCGACGCGCGTCGCCCGCACGCGTGGCGACCATCACCATCATCATCATCATCATCGCGCGCACATTCTCCGCGCGCGCGTCCCGACCGTCACGACCGCGCGCCGAACATCGCGCGAAACCGTCGCGCGCGCGACCGCGGTCTCCGAACGCGGTCGTCCCGAACGCGCCGCGAAAACGTCGCGCGAAGACGCGCATCAAAAAAAGCCCACACGACGCCCGAGACCATGGCGCTCCCGGGACGCCCCGTCGTCGACGCCGACGCCGACGCCGACGCGCCGAGCGCGCGCGTGATCCGCGAGAGTAACGCGTGCGCGGCGCGACGGTACCGCGACCGCCTCCTCGTCGTCGTCAGCGCGCACGAACGTACGAACGAGTGGCACACGTTTGCATTCATTCATTCATTCATTCATTCATTCGCGTCGTCGTCTCGTCGTCGTCGTCGTCGCCGTCGCGAACGCACCTCCCAGCGCGCGCCCAGAACCCATCATCGTCGTCATCCGCGTCGTCGTCCATCGCACGACGCGTCGACGTCGACGAATGCGGCGCGCGAGGATGACTTTTCAAATATTGTGCACGCCGAGCGACAGACCGCGTCGCGCGACGCCCTCGAATGGCGTCTGCGTCGCCCGCGCCCGCGTCGCGCGCGTCGCGAGCGAACGGGTGGAACCCCGCGCGCGTGGGGTCGACGCGAGGGCGTCCACGGAGGACGGTGCGCGAGCGCGCGCGCGTCGAACGCGCGTCGAAGACGATTCGTGGCACCGCGTCAAACGATGGATTCGCCGTCGGTGACGACGACGTGCGCGTCTTGGACGCGCGTGAACCGGTCGATCCCGACGAACGATTGATTAATGATGATTTAGCGCCGGTGACGGCGCGTGAGAGGACGTTTACGACGAAGGATGTCGCGGCGTTGTGGGTGGGCATCGTGTGTTGCGTCCCGGCGTGGACGTTGATTTCATCCGTGTGCGCGATCGGGTTCTCGGCCGCGGAAGCGATGACGACGATCGCGATCGCGAACGTGATCGTGTTGGCGCCCATGGTGGCGAACGGGTACGCGGGGACAAAGTATGGGTTGGGATTTCCCGTGCTGTGTCGCGCCGCGTTTGGGATTCGCGGTGCCAACGTGGCGACGATGGCGCGCGCGTTCGTCGCCACCGGGTGGTTCGGGATACAGACCAACATGGGTGGGGAATCTCTGTTGACGATATGTAGGAGCGTCCTCGGGAGCGCGAGCGTCGATGGGTTCGGCGTGATCGGGTGGTTGGGCATGAGCGCGCCCGGTTTGGCGTGTTATTTAGCGTTTCTCGCCGCGCAGCTCTACGTCGTGTACAACGGGATAGAGAGCATTCGTAAGCTCGAGGAATACGCGGCGCCGGTGCTCATCGCACTCTCGCTCGCGCTCTTCGCTTGGGCCATGAACGCGGCGGGTGGATTGGGGCCGATGTTGAGCGCGCCGAGCGCATTCGCCGCCGGAGGCGCGAAGGCGGGCACCTTCCACGGAGCAATCTTTCCCGTCATCACAGCCACGGTGGGGTTCTGGAGTACGCTTTCTCTAAACATTAGCGACTTCACGCGCTATGCAAAGAGTCAACGAGTGCAAATCGTGGGCCAGGCTGTTGGTTTGCCCTTCTTTATGGCGACGTTTTCGTTCATCGCGCTCGCCGTGACGAGCTGTACGGTGGTCATCTACGGCGCCGCGATTCCAGACCCTATAGCGCTCGTGTCACGTATGAATAACGGTCCGATGACGACAATCATAGCGATGGGCGGGCTCGTCATCGCCACGCTCTCGACGAACATCGCGGCGAACGTCGTGGCTCCGGCGAACGCGTTGGTGAACGCCTTTCCAAAACAAATGAGTTTTCGTAGAGCCGGTTTCATCACCGCCGCCCTCGGGACAGCCTTCATGCCCTGGAAGCTCACGTCGGGGTCGGGTTACATATTCGTTTGGCTCATCGGCTACGCCGCGCTGCTCGGTCCGATCACCGGTATCATGATTGTCGATTTCTTTTTCATCCGCCGCCGCCAGCTGGACGTAGACGCGCTATTCAGCATGCGGCGGGACTCAAAGTACTGGTACGCCAACGGATTCAACCTCCGAGCGCTCACGAGCTTCGCCGTAGGCGCCGGCCTGTGCGTGCCGGGATTCTTACACACGGTCGGCGTCAATCCGACGTGCGGCGCCTTGTTCCGCGTCTTGTACGACAACGCGTGGTTCGTGTCCTTCTTCGTGGGCGGAGGCTTGTATTACGCGCTCGAGTCGATGCGAAAACACCAGCGCGCGCGCCCGCGGACTCCTCCCGAGGGCCACGTCGTGTACACGTTCGACGCGTAGAGTGTGAAATAGTGACGTCTACTCGTACGTTTTCTCCACAATCGCTCTATCGCTCCGTCGCTCCGCCGCGGCGCAACATCGCTCCCCACGCCTCCGCCTCATCCACCACCACCGCGTCGTCATCCGCGTCGTCCACGTCACCCGCATCGTACGCATCCACCTCACTCGCGAACGCGTCGTCCCCGTCGTCCCTCGCGTCCGCGTTTTCTCTCCGCGCGTCCGCCTTCGACGTCGTCGTCTCGTCTCGCCCCCCCCCCCCGACGTCGCCCATCACCCCCTCCGGTCTACCCATCCGCCCCAGCGCGTGCTCGCGCACGCTCCGCACCCGTCCAGCGCCCAGCGCCCGCGCGCCGTCGGCCTCCGTCCCACCGCTCGCCACCTCTCGCAGGCGCGCGTTCAACACCCGCGTCGTCGCCCGCGCGCTCGCCCCCATCACCGCCAACGCCACGCCCGCGAGCGCGCTCAGCCCAATCGCCCGTCGCACCAGCGCTCGCGTCTCCCGCGTCGTCGCGCGCGCCGTCGTCGCGCCGCGCGGCCGATCCATCGCCGCGAACGTCGAGCGTCGATGTGTCGTCTCGTTTGGTGTTGACGCCGATCCCCATGTCCGCCCTCGCGTTCGCGTTCGACGACGCGATCGAGCCCTCGACCGAGGGCGCGCTGTGCGACAAACTCCTCGCCCTGTCCGCGTCGTCGACGACGACGGCGCGCGCGAGGTCGAGGGAGGACGTGAGCGCGTTGATTGGATTCGCCCTCGCGTCGCGATCGATCGCGATGGCGTTCGACGACGACGCGGACAGGGCGACGGACGGGACGTCTGTGACGGCGTGCGGGGACGCGCGCGTGGCGTGCGCGAGGTCGGCGAGTGGGATCTACGCGTGCGCGCGAGGGAGGGGATGGAATGATGGGGCGATGCGGGCGACGGCGCGGGAGATGCTTCGGCGCGGCGCGGCGGCGGTCGCGTCCGGCGCGGCGCCGTCGGT